TTTTATTGTAAACGCAATATGCATCTCACTTAGATCGTGATAGTTTAATTATATACGTGTACGCTCGTCTTCTCTCCCTTCCCCCACACTCTCCCTCTTGTCTCCTTTATTACTTAACAGCGAATATATCGAGATGAGACGAGTATATGCAAACGTTTACACATAAGTTGTTTGTTTTTTTTTACACGTTGTCGCTACCGATACCGATGTGAAAACGATTGATTGTCGCGCGAGGAGAAAGATGCTGACATACGCGTTCCGTTGTTTCAATATATCGCCGGAACAATCGGAACAAGTGCCACCGATTTTTTTTTTTTTATTGTCACGAAGTGGTGACAGAAATATCACCACATCGGCTCCCAAGGAAACGGAATTTAGATTAAGAAAAAGAAGAAGTAGATAATAAGGTTGCGCAGTTTTATCTGTGCGCAATATTTTACTCACTTCTATATATCATATATATATATATACATATCTACTTCTATATAATATACATAAAATACATACAAAAAAAATATATATATATAAAAAAAAAAGATATTTCTATACTTCTATATAATATACATAAAATATATACAAAAAATATATATACAAAAAAAAAAAAAGATATTTCTATACTTCTATGTAATATACATAAAATATATACAAAAAAAAAGATATTTCTATCACTACAATTAAACGATGTATCAAGCAGTTGATCCGTATTGTGTAACGATTGTGTACGTACCCAAATTTTAACACTTTTTAATGCAATAAAAAAAATCAAAGTTGAAAAATATTCGAGAACGACTCTTTGTGTTCTTTCTTTCTTTCTTTCTCTCTCTCTCTCTTTCTTCTTACCTCGTGCGTTTCTGCAGAAGACTGTGCTTATGCGTCTCTGAAACGAAATTATCTCTCGAGAGTAGGTATTATTTTAAGAACGGAAAGAGAACTTTAGAGAGCAACAAGTTTGTGTATATAATAGAAGAGGAAAGTAGTTGTCGAATGTGGAAAGGAAACGAATGGCTCTTTCTTTTTAATATTAATACTTTATTAATATTAATAATAATATATTTGTGCAAAATATATCAACATTAAATTATCTCGAGTAGTAAAATCGCCTGTACATTTATTTTTCATATACATATACATATATATATATATGTATATATATATATATATGTGTCCTTAAAAGTAGCATTATTTTCTCTAAAATACAGTAGTATAAGTCAGAAGTAATCGGACATCAGGAAGACCGCAGTTTTTTCTCTCCTCCTTCCATCTCTCTCTCTTTCTACCTTATTCTCTTACTTTCATCAATTTATCTCTCATCTACTTTCTCTCTCGTTTGGTGTTGAAAAGTTTGAGTTTTTGTTTTTAATTGACAACGAATAAAAGAGCAGTGTGAAAAATCAATGGCAAAATACAATCGATCTAAAATTTTGACGATTTGTTATTATTCGGAATAAGAAATTTCGACAATTGCATCGGATAATGATCCGCGCGCGCGTACGCACATTTTTAAATTTGTTAATTACGCATTACGCGGATAAACACGAAAAAATGATCTCGAAAAACGTTTCTGAACAAATTGCCGCCGGTTTGGGTGCCCCGATATACGGTTAGTTTTTATTTGTTTCTTCGTATCTTACTTGTTTCTTTTATTTTTCACTTTCAGGTTTTCTCTTTGTCTGTGTTTTTTTCTTCTTCTTCTCTTATTTACTTTGCTTGTGTGTGTGAGGAAATGCTTCAATAAATATACAACCGTAGTATCGTATTATAGAAACTTATGATTTACGCAATAATTTTATATATATATATATATATATAT